GAGAGAGAGAGAGAGAGAGAGAGAGAGAGAGAGAGAGAAAGAGAGAGAACTTCTATTCAACAAGGACAAAATACATAGCCCAAAGGCATGCCCCCAGAGACCCACCTCCTCCTGCCACACCCTACCTGCCTGTAGTCACCACACAGCTAATTCTATTGGAGGATTAATGCATGATTAGGTTAAAACTCTTGTAACCCAATCATTTCACCTCTTAACTTTCCTGCATTGTCTCACACAAGAGTTCTAGGGGGACATCTCACATCCATACCATAACTGTCACCATCTCTGATCATGATCTAATAATATTATAAATGAATAATTCAAAGCGGCAATGAGTAATTCAAAATTTGTTTATGGCAACCATTTGGGGAAATAGATTTTCTTATATGTTACTTGTCCAAAATGTACTTAAAAAAAGCACTCTGGCAATCTCTTACTATATTAAAAATAGACAAACTCTTTGGCCCAACAATTCTACCCTGAAAATCTCTCCATTGGAATAAAATCAGTAAAAATGGACACAGGTATCAGGATTTTATCGTGACTTTTTTTAATGGAAAAAATTAAAAGGAATAAAAAGGTGAATACTGACTAGGAGGGAATGATGACCTAAATTATGCTGCAACTGTAACACAATTATGTTATATTCTGTGGCCATTGCAAAAAAATAAATTAGAGCTGTAATTATTTACTGAAAGGGAATTTCATCAGATACTGAGGAAGGATATAGGAAGGCATATACAGCATATTATCTCCTTTTATTCAATGAAGAAAAGTACATCTACAAATGAACATGTCCGTGTGTTCACACATACGTGCACATGTGTGTGTGTGTGAGAAAAATCAAATGGTTTATGTGGACCAGGATGATTGAAGAGGAGCTGAGATGATTGACAGAAGAAACAAAGAGGAATTCAGGCAAATGAAAATGTCATTTTAAAGAAGAAAGATAGATATGTATTTAATGACTAATAGAGAGACAATGATTCCTTATTGAATGAAAATACAAGTTTGCAGAAAAGGGTGTGGCATGATTCTATTTTTTTAAGAGAGAGAGAGGGAGAGAGAGAGAGAGAGAGAATTTTAATATTTATTTTTTAGTTTTCGGAGGACACAACATCTTTGTTTGTATGTGGTGCTGAGGATCGAACCCGGGCTGCACGCATGCCAGGCGAGCGAGCTACCGCTTGAGCCACATCCCCAGCCCCATGATTCTATTTTAGTTAAATGCCTCTATCCATCTACAAAAAACATTGGATTTTGAGCAAAGAATATTTTTCATGAGAACAAAGGGAAAAAAAAAAGAATTGTAGGAGTCTACCTCTTTGATAAAGGGGCGTTATTACATGATCACGGACAGTGTTATTACATTTTAACACACGAGGATCAAAATCTCATTAAGTCAAAGACTGTAATGGCTAGGCAGAATTTCTAAGATGGTCTCCAAAAGATGTCTAAGCTCTCTATTCACAGTCCACCCATGGTTGGAGGGAGACACCTGGGTGAACAGAATCTCATCACATGAGCCTTTAAAAGCAGGAGCTTTTTTGGTCTGGTGGCCGAAGAGAAATTGGAGAGATTCAAAGCAGGAAAAGAATGAGACCTTCTGCTATTGACCTGAATGCCGGGACAAGACAGCCACGTGGAAATATTGAGAAAATACATTTATAAAGGTTTTTTCTTCATTGAACAAAAAGTGATCATGTATCAGATCTGCCTTTCTAAATCCTTTTCCCACTCCACAATATTTGAAGAAATGAGAGCTACAACTTATTCATTTTAGTGGTGATATAACATTATGCTACAGCAAGATTGGGCTGCTAATACCAAGGACCCTGGAGAAGACCCCAAGGCTCAGATGAGAACTGAAGCCCTGACTGAAGTATTGATTTTCACCTTGTGAGATTTTTAAGTAGAGAAAACAACTGAGCAGATTTCTGAGGTAGTACAAATTTTCAAGATAATACAGGGATGTTGCTTTAATCTAGAAATTTATGGTAATTTCTTCCAGCAACAATAGAAAATGAATACTTTGCCCAATGTTTAAAAATGTCTATAAGTAGAAAATGGGGTGTGGTTTCTCTAACAGGAATCAACAGACAGATCAAAGGCATAGGCTTTGAGGTCATATAAAACTGGGACTATATTTCACATTTTTCACTAATAAGATGTCTGATTTGAGGAAAGTTCTTTGAAGTATCTGAGTCTCAACTTCCAAATCTGTAAAATGGTGTAATTATAACTATTTTAACTGGTGTGGTGTGTGTGTGTGTGTGTGTGTGAAATAGACAACAATATATGTATGTTTCTTAGGAAATACTAAAAAGTGAATTATCCTATTATTATTTCATATTTGTTATCCCAACTAGCAATTATACAAGGAGAAAGCAAATTATAAAAATTCAAAAAGAATGATATTTTTGAGATCCAAATAAATATATTTTTCTACTCCCTCTCCCATTTTATCTTCCTTATCTTATTTTTTTTTAAAATTCTCATCTTGATATTTACTATAACAATTATACAACCAATAAAATATCTTTTAGATTGAATGTAAAGATGGTCTTCCGAGGGGCTTACCTGATCTTGCCTCAGAGAATCAGGTTTCCAAGAAGCGGTGCCTGGCCCATGTGACTTTCCCTTAAGGATGTTTCTTGGTGTCTGCCTTTAGTTTTTCACAGTCCACGGGGG